ATCAAAAATAATCTGCAGATTAAGCTATGTATATCGTAGGCCGTGAGTGTTCCACGCGGATGCCCCTTAAAGAGAATGTATTTTTACGATAACAATGAAATATTTTCGGTCCTCCTAAAGTCATTTTTTCATGTATGTGTGTATATGTCCTATACCCAAAAGCTCATGAAAATATCTACAACAATTTTGCGCAAGAAATTAAAAACCGACAAAATCGACAAAGTACAGGAAAACCCTAAAAAAAAAAAAACTAAACTTCTCTTGTAACCAGAATCCTGATGCTGACGCGTTCAGTGCATGTTAATCATCTCACTCCAGCTTGTCTCCCACGCCAGTCTCCTCGTAAACAGCAAGTGAAGTGTACCCAAGTCTGTATTATGTGTATTTTGTAATGCATTTAGCGGGGCAGTTACAACCAGAAATGTGGAATATATACATACACACACACACACACACACACACACACACACACACACACACACACATATATATATATATATATATATATATATATATATATATATATATATATATATATATATATATATATATATATATATACATATATATATATATATATATATATATATATATATATATATATATATATATATATGTGTGTGTGTGTGTGTGTGTGTGTGTGTGTGTGTGTGTGTGTGTGTGTACATATATATATATATATATATATATATATATATATATATATATATATATATATATATATATATTTATATTTGTACATACATACTGCATACATATATTATACATACATATATCATATATAAGTGTGTGTGTGTGTGTGTGTGTGTGTGTGTGTGTGTGTGTGTGTGTGTGTGTGCATAAGTGGTCTGAAAAACTAAGCATTTTAAATCATTAAATCGTGTTTAACTCCAAATGGCAATGGAATCCTTTCAGTCTTTTAAGTTAGGTGTATCTTTGTAACATCTCTTGTCTGATTATTTAAGTGTTCGTCTGCAAAATCTCTCTCTTTTTAAACCAAAAGTCTAAAGATATAATCCGCATACACAATTTGGCATCCGTGAAAGTCAAGCATTAGTATGATATAGATGTCTAGGAATTTAATTAATTTCAAATAGTGAACCGGTTTCAGATGAAGTGAAAGTTAAAAAGTAACTTTAACAAGCGCAAACCTTACAAGAGGAAGTTTTAAACATGCAACTGACTGATATATTTCGCAATTGCACACTTCAGACATGTACAGTTGATTGCAAATGAAAGACAAGGAGGGAAGAAGAAAGAGAAGTAGGATGTGGAGGAAGAATTGATAATGGGTAAGAATAACATGGTAGAGATAAGGAGAAAGGGAGAGAGAGGAGAAAGGTGGAGGGAGAAAAGAGGAATAGAGAGAAGAGGTGAAAAGTGAGGGGGAAGAGGAGTAAGATGGAGGAAGAGAGAACAGATAAGTGAGGAGGAAGAAGAGTAAGGAGACAGAAGAAGAAGAAAGTAGAAGCAACAAGAAGAAAACGAAGAAAAAACAACCACTATAAAATAACAAAGAAATGTATATATAATAAACAAACAGAAGAAAGCACTTACCCAACTGGAAAAAAACACAAAGCACAAAGAATATGCGAAACGAAGGCGGAAAGAAGAGAGTAAGAGAGACCTCCTAAGGAAAGAGACATCTGGGATAATAGACAACAATAACGAACAGTGACAGGGCTGCGACAGCTCACATTACACAGGAGGATGGTTGCGGTCACCACGGTATAATAACCTTTTCCATACGAGAGAGTGAGTGGGTTAGGTTAGATAATCACCAACGGTCTCCCGCCAACGCTGCATCGCTCACACTCGCCGAGCATCAATCACGAGGAAATGAACACCACGATTGGGAGACAGAGGTTATCTTTCAAAACCTGTAATGATTGTTATTGATTTGGCTTTTATTCTCCATTGTATCACACGAACTCATTTCTCAGCGATAATCTCTTGTTGAAAATGTTGTCCCTGGAAATGATTTAGCTGCAAATGAAGCTGAAAAGGAAGTTTGTGTGAAATTATAGAGTTTGATTAAAATCACATTATCTTTGCATGTCGATGTGTTGGGAATTTTTGTCTTTAATTAAGAGTTATGGGATTAATTTTATGGGATTAATAAATGTACCAAAGACACAGTAATCACCTCGTGATTTCGACCACTTTTATTGGCTGAATGCCTATTTTGATGGTTAATTTGTTTGTCAACGAATTTTCACGAAAATATACCGACGGATTATTACATTAAGAAAAAAAAAAAATTAGAAAAAAAAAAAAAAAAAAAAAAAAAAAAAAAAAAAAAAATATATATATATATATATATATATATATATATATATATATATATATATATATATATATATATATATATATATATATATATATATATATGAGTTACAGATGAGATAGGAACCAAATTTTACATGTTGGCGGCGAAAGTTCACTATAGAGAGGCCGCCGTTATTGCAAGCGGATGTTTGCGTTCGTGTTTAAGATAATTCTTCAGGGTCACTTTCTCCTTTGTTATTGGCTTTTGTTCATAATACTTTTGTTATATTATTGCTACTTATTGCTGTTGTTATTAGCATCACTAATTCATTGTGATTGACCTAATTGTGAAATTACCTCGTGGTAGATTCCTAATTTAATAAGTTATCACTATTTATTGTTGTTGTTGTTGTTGTTAACGTCATTGGTCAATTGTGATCGATCAAAGTGTGAATTTTACTTATGATAGATACCTGAGCTTGATTTGTAGAGCTTATCTTATTATTTTTTTTATTTCATAATTTGTGGTAGCCTTGAGTATTTAAAAAAAAAAAAAAATTCTATCATTATGTAATATACATATGCATATATACATATTTGTGTATATATATATATATGTATGTGTGTGTGTGTGTGTGTGTGTATGTTCATATATATATATATATATATATATATATATATATATATATATATATATATATATATATATATAATATATATACATATATATCTGTGTGTGTGTGTATCATCATTATCATAAGGGGGCATACTCATGGCTGCGCTTTGCCACGCCCAACCTTTGCCTCCCCCTCCTGGGGTCCCTCCGAGCAAGCCTCCATGCAGCATTCCTTCCCACCCCCAACACATCTTGGCAGATCTGATCGCCTTGCTTCAGCCATGAGTTCCGTGGCCTTCCCCTTGGTCTTTTCCAGCCTGTTTCAACCCTCTCGGAGATGACCTTATTAGCCGGATCTTCTTTAGGAAAACGAGCCACATGTCCATAGAGCTGAAGTTGGCGCTCTCGTATCAGACTGGCAATAGGTCTTACATTAGTCTCATGGAGTATGGACACATGATCAATCCAGGTATACCCATGATTCTGCGAAGATACTTAGTACCAAAGGAGCCGAGACGGGCCTTCAGAGCACTGTTCAGTTGTCAGGTCTCACACACCCGTAGCGTAAGACTCTTTGAAGAGCCTGGTGTACGTAAATGTTGCATATATAAACAGATATGATACATATATGTACATATATACACAAATATGTGTATATATATACATGTGTATATATATATATATATATATATATATATATATATATATATATATATATATATATATATATATATATTTATATATATATGTAAATATATATGTGTGTATGTGTGTGTGTCTGAATGTATGTATGACTGTGCATTCATACATACATACATGCATACATAGATATATATATATATATATATATATATATATATATATATATATATATATATATATATATATACATATATATATTGTATGCGTGCAGAGAGAGAGAGAGAGAGAGAGAGAATTTCCCATTTCTGATGCATTTATGATTTACTGATGGAAGACATCAATCACAATGTGATGAGTCATTGTAACATAACTCTCAGATTTATGTTCATTAACCTGCCTGGCGAATGATAAGGTACCACATGTAAATGCTAGGACTAGATTTGATATTTTGTACCACCTCTAGGAAATGGAATGACAAGTGGTTTTACACGGAATGACACTGTTATTACCTGTCATTCCAATGCATGTTCTGTATCTGAGCCTCATCTTTAACAAGACGAAGAACAGTATAATCACACGAAATTCTATTACTCATCTCTCTGCAGGCCATTCTTACTTTAGCAAACTAATCAACAGTGAACTATCATACGAAAAACACTGTTATTTACATATTATTCCAGAGTACGCCCTACTTGTCCCGCATTCCTAAGTAATCATTCCTTAAACAATATCGAGAATGATATGTGGAATGACGCTGATATTATTGAGCTCGATGAAGCTGACATGACAGACCGCAACTAGTAATTGTCATTTCTTGTAATGTCGCTGCCAGTGTCATATTGTGCGATATTAGTCTTTCGAATATGGAATGAGGTGCAGAGGGTTAAAGCTGGAACTTCAATGCTTCTCAACTTCATATCACTGTTACTGAGTTTGCTAAAGATAGAATGAAGTACAAAGTGAGGATTTACACGGGAATGATATAAAACAGCATTCATTGTGCATGACATCACTGTCC